TCCTCGACTTACGACCGGTTGGGGGGTCACGGCATTAAAAAGGTTGAGAACCACTGCCAAAGATGCTTTTTCACAAGGCAACTGGGCTTCCATTCCCCACCATCCAGTTAGAACTGAAGAGGCTTCTTGGATGAGAAGCGAAACATCTTCAAAGGAAAAAACAAGGAAATCCACTTGCCTTGCGAAAAAGCATCTTTGGGACAATGGTGATAGGGTAATCAATAATCCAATAACAAAATCATTCATATATCTATCAGGTTACATCCTTAAAATTCCCTCTCTATCTCCCATTATTATTATATCCTATTCAAATTAATACATTTCTAGATAAAGCTCAATCAATCAATACGTTTGCCAATAACATTTTACTTACACATATCCAAGTCCTGTTTTTAAGTTTTACTTCATTCCATTTACCATGTTCCAATTAGCCTTTAATAACCGTAATATTTAGATTTCAAGTAATCTAATTTCTCTCATTTCATTACAAAATAATTATCGTGTATAGAGTACATATATTATTCCCAAAATTACATTCTTACTTTCTTTCACGGATATATTCTATTTCTCGTCCTGGTCGGTCCTCATTTACTAATACAATATCTTTCATTATCACGAACCCATTTCCATATTACAATGTCAAACCATAATGTCACAATTAATTTTCATTTCCATTATAACTCTAAATCCTAAACATTAAATCAATCAATCTCTCTAAAAATCTCCAACATTGAGGTTCCCTCTCTATTTCTTCTTTGGGACAATCTTGACCTGGATGACCAAGAATCTCCATAGACCTCATGACACCATATCAATTGCCTGGTCCAGTGGTGGCACTCCATAGCCCAAATCCTGTGCCTTACCTGCAGCAAACGCAGAGCACATGACGAAGAACATCCCCAAGGCGATTCTCTTCAGTGAGGAAGGAAGAAGCCCCTTCTTCTTCAAGATGGGGTCCACCACTTTGTCTTTCAGGGGGATGAGGATGAGGATCAGCACAGCATCAAACATGGTTAGCCAAGCTGCGGGGAACTGGGGTGGAGAGACAGAGATGAAGGCAACCACCCAAACTCAGCCATCCAGTCCCCCACCCGGGACCCCTGTTCTGTGCAGATGGACCCCATGTTGCTCGTTGAGGAACCCCAACCCAACGTCAGCAATGATTAATGTGTGAGAGCGAGCAGAACCTACTATTTACAGAATAACAGAATAGCCAACGTGGAAGGGAGCTTGGAGGTCTTCCAGTCCAACCCCCACTTCAGGCAGGAAACCCTAGAGCAGGGCTTTTCAACCAGTGGTATGAGTACCACCTGTGGTACATTGGCACTTGGCAGGTGGTACGTGACCATCCTAGAAAAGTGGTAGCAGGGGAGGGGAATGAGCTGAACCGGTGTCAGCAGCGCACAAGCATAAGCAAGAGATGGCTGGAGCTGCAGGGCTGTCAGGGCTCAGCAGAAGCGCCAGGATCAGTGCCACTTTCCAGCTGATCGGCGCTTCTTCAGGGCTGTCAGGGCTCAGTGGAAGCATCAGGATCAGCGCCAAGCTCCAGCTGGAGCTCGGCACTGATCCTGGTGCTTCTGCTGAGCCCAGAAGAAGCACCAATCAGCTGGAAAGCAGCACTGATCCTGGCGCTTCTGCTGAGCCCAGAAGAAACGCCGATCAGCTGGAATGTTGCAGCATCTCCAGGGTCTTGTGATTTACATTCAGATGCTTGGCCACTGATTCATATTTATGATGGTCACAGTGTCCCAGGGTCATGTGAAGTGACCAAAACCTGCTGCAACCATCCAGCAGACGGGGGGGGGGGGGAATAAAAAACCAAACATCCCCCACCCCCGTTGCCAATCCACAACAGAAATGCTCACAACAATGAAAACCTTGGACAGGAGGAAGAGCATGGCTAGGTGGGCAGGCAGGTGTCTTGCTCGGCTGTGGCTTGGGGGGCACTTTTTTCAGTGCTATTGTAACTTCGAACAGTCACTAAGCGAACTGTTGTAAGTCGAGGACTACCTGTACTTTATCACTTTTTTCCTTTTTTTTTTTTTGGTCAAGTTTTTGACGCCTTGCTAGGCGACTGGTGGTACTCAGATGTTGCCATATCCATGTTGCCATGGTACCATGGGTGAAAAGGTGGAAAAGCCCTGCCCTAGACCACTTCAGACATAATGGTTCTCCAATCTCTTCTTAAAAGCCTCCAATGATGGAGCACCCACAACTTCTGGAGGCAAGCTGTTCCACTTTGCTTTTATCCCTATGGCCTTCTGGGTTTGGAGAACATCTGCTCAATCCTTGGGGCCCCCGCCAGCCAACTTCCCACGAGCTAAAAACAAAATCCTGTGAGCAGAGAAATTAAAATTCCCCCCCCCCACACTCTGAGATGCAGAAACTGTAAACTCATTAAGTATCTGTCTTCATCAACCCACAAGCGGAGAGGAACGCCAGGTTTATGAGGGATCATAGAGGTTAAACCATTAGCACACATGGTCTGCACAGAAAAATCGTTCCTAAAATAAGTTATTTACACAAAAACCGCGTGCGGGGATCTGCTCTCCTCCTCTCTCTGTTGTTGCAGACCTTCTGCAGATGCCTCGCTCTTCATTAAAAAATTCGAGATTTTGACCCAGGTCAAGCCAATATACCCTTAGCCAATATACCCTTAGCCGCTTGCAAAAAGTTACTCACACCTCTGTAATCACCAGAAAAGTTCAAGAGGGGAAGGGTGAAAAGTCCCAATTAAACGGGAAAGCCTCACCAGAATCTCCAATGGGTTTGGGTTTTGGGTTTTTTTTTTTTGTTTTTTTGAAAACTGTGATTACTCTAATGATGAAATATTTATGCCAGACAAAGCACACCAGGAAGGCTGAAATGGGCAGAACAGAAATATGTGATCGGTCAATTGATGGGAGCAGGCCTTCCCATGGATTTTGGGGGAACTGGTCTTCTCCAATTGGAGATGTTTCGACTTTCGGTTTGGCAGATTGATCTCTGGGCTTTCACGGACATGACGGCTCTGGGACCAGGCGGGAGACCCGAAGGGACAAATGGAAAGGCATTCGGGAACCCTCCAATTTTTAGCACTGCACCAAAAAGTCCAATTGCTTAAACTAGTTAGAAAACATAGACAAAAAGGGTTGGAAGGGACCTTGGTGGTCATCTAGTCCAACCCCCTGCTCCGGCAGGAAACCCTATACCATTTCAGACAAATGGCTGTCCAGTCTCTTCTTAAAAACTTCCAGTGTTGGAGCATTCACCACTTCTGGAGGCAGATTGTTCCACTGGTTAATTGTTCTAACTGTCAGGAAGTTTCTCCTTAGTTCTAGGTTGCTAGGTCAGTTTCCATTCATTACCCTTCCTTCCTTCCTTCCTTCCTTCCTTCCTTCCTTCCTTCCTTCCTTCCTTCCTTCCTTCCTTCCTTCCTTCCTTCCTTCCTTCCTTCCTTCCACCCTCCCTCCTTAGTTCCAGGTTGCTTCTCGGCTTGATTAGTTTCCATCCGTTGCTTCTTGTCCTGCCCTCTGGTACTTTGGAGAATAATTTGACCCCCTCTTCTTTGTGGCATCCCCTCAAATACTGGAATACTGTGTGTGTGTATAGATATTGTTTGTTTATAGCTTTGGTTTACAAAGGAAAACTATGCAAACAAAGGCCACACTTGGAATAGTGCATCCAGCTTTGGTCGCCACAATGTAAAAGAGATGTTGAGACTCTAGAAAGAGTGCAGAGAAGAGAAACAAAGATGATCAGGGGACTGGAGGCTAAAACATATGAAGAACAGTTGCTGGAACTGGGCATGGCTAGTCTAGTGAAGAGAAGGACCAGGAGAGACATGATAGCAGTGCTCCAATCTCTCAGGGGCTGCCCCAAAGAAGAGGGAGTCAAGCTATTCTCCAAAGCGCCTGAAGGCAGGACAAGAAGCAACGGATGGAAACTAATCAAGGAGAGAAGCAACCTGGAACTAAGGAGGGAGGGAGGGTGGAAAGAAGGAAGGAAGGAAGGAAGGAAGGAAGGAAGGAAGGAAGGAAGGAAGGAAGGAAGGAAGGAAGGAAGGAAGGGAGGGAGGAAGGAAGGAAGGAAGGAAGGACAATGGATGGAAACTCATCAAGGAGAGAAGCAACCTAGAACTAAAGAGAAATTTCCTGACAGTTAGAACGATTAACCAGTGGAACAACTCCAAAGTCCTTCCAACTCTACTCTACTTCTACTCTACTCTACTCTACTCTACTTCCATTCCATTCTGTAATTCCATTCCATTCCATTTTCTATTCTATTCTATTCCATTCCATTCCATTCTGTAATTCCATTCCATTCCATATTCTCTTCTCTTCTCTGCTCTTCTATTCTATTCTATATTCTACTCTACTCTACTCTACTCTACTCTACTCTACTCTACTCTACTCTACTCTACTCTCGTCCATTCAATAAGGTAAGGCTGGCAGATGCTCCATCCGTGGAGGTTTTCAAGAAGAGACTGGACAGCCATTTGTCCCAAATGGGTAGAGGGTCTCCTGCTTGAGTAGGGGCTGGACTAGAAGATCTCCAAGGTCCCTTCCAACTGCCCCAAAGGTGCTTTTTCAAGAAGCAACCTGGATGACTGAGAATCTGCACAGATGTCCCTTCCAACTCTTGTTATCCTGTTTTCACTTTGTGGCTCACCGTGTGGCTGCTTGCGGTGCTGTTGAACGTGCTGTTGGAAAACTGTGGGATTTTCAAATGGAGACTCTGGAGGACGTAGGTGGTCTGCATCTGTGAAGTCAAAAGGATTTATGGCTCAGCAGCTTTCTTTACAACACTCAGAAGGATCAAACCCTCTTTGTCAACAGCTCGGAAGCAGCCGACCAATTTTAGCCTGACCAACCAACTCATAACCCCGAAATTAAATGTATTTCTCCCATCGTTCAGACGATCCATTGCCTTCTAAAAAAAAGGCCACAGTTTAGTTCCCCAATTATTTACTTATTAAATTTCTCTAGCTGCCTGTCTTAACCTGTTATTTTAACTCAATTTAGAGCCCCCACACAAACACACACACACACAGGTGACTGTGGGCCACTAAGAAGGAACAGAAACAATAAATGATAAAAAGCACGTGAACCAAAGAATACATCACAAATACAGCTGCTGCTGTTAGTCCCCATCTCTTCAACCTAGTTTATATATTTTTATTTATTAAGAAAATGTATCTGGCTGCTCAACTCACTCACAGTTGACTCTGGGCCGCTTATAGAAGTAAAATCCCCAATGTTAAACCCAAAAAATTCGGGACCAGGTCCGGCCGCCGATCCTGCAGCCGGATAGTCCCAAGCCAAAAAGCACAGAAGAAGATCAAGCTCCTAGTCCTCGTGTGCAGAAAGAACGCCTCAGAATGCGCCCGAGCAAAGCCCGAGTCGTCAAAGCCAAATTCTTCCCACAATAGGGATCGATTCCAGTGCTCTGACTTTGACCAGCATTCCTAGCACTGACCTAACATGGATCACAGCGGATTAGAATCAATCGCTGAGTTAACTCAAGTGTTTGCAAAATAAATAAATAAGGGGTTATATGCCCAGCAAGTTCTCTTTTAAGCCTCAGGCAGATTCTGAAGCTTTCTTTCTGTGCACAGGGATGAGGAACTTGGAACTTCTTTGGAAAGCGAAGAAATTTGGATCAGGCTAATGTCTAATTTGTTGCGCCTACCTGCCGGTTCGCATAGAGGTTGTGCCACCTTGAAAACAATCCAGAAGTAACCACGGTTGATCCACCCACCTGAAAGTAGACTGTCCAGTACGGGATGAGAGCCAAAAAGACGGGGATGATTTTGACCAAGGCTTTGACGTCTTCCACTTTATCTTCTCGGAAAGGACCCCCGTGGGAGGTCTTGGCGGCTTCAAAAAGGCTGTCCTTGGAAGGCTGACGCTGGTGAAGGATCCCCTGGGTGACCCTTGGAAAAGAAAACGAAGACTTATTCCGTGGTTCCTTCCCAGCAGCGTCACCCAAAGACTTTGGAGCTGGCCATTTCTTAAGGCTGTTGGGGCCAAATCTTCAGCGCTCCCAAAAGGGAAGAATCGGTCGAATCAAAGAAGGGCGGGAAGGGAGATGCTAGTTTGAACGTACTGCTTTTGGGTTAGGGTGCAAATCAAAAAATGGAGATTCTTTCAGAATTTTGAAGACGGGGGTTCCCCCCCCCGAAAAATGTCAAAGGCTTGCAAATGATCTGTATAAAATGGGATGGGATGGGGAGAAAGGTGAGAAGAAGGAAGGAAAGAAGGAAGGAAGGGAGGGAGGGAGGGAGGAAGGAGAGAAGGAGGGAAGGAAAGGAGGGAGAGATAATGAGGAAGGAAGGTAAGCAAAAGAGAAAGGGGAAAGGAAGGAAGAAAGAAAGGAGGGAAGGAAGGAACGAAAGAAGAAAGGAAGAAAGGAAGGAGGGAAGGAAAGGAGGGAGAGATAACGAGGAAGGAAGGTAAGCAAAAGAGAAAGGGGAAAGGAAGGAAGAAAGAAAGGAGGGAAGGAAGGAAGGAACGAAAGAAAGGAAGAAAGGAAGGAGGGAAGGAAGGAAAGGAGGGAGAGATAACGAGGAAGGAAGTGAAGCAAAAGAGAAGGGAAAAAGAAGGAAGGAAGGAAGGAAGGAAGGAAGGACAGGTAACGAGGAAGGAAGTGAAGCAAAAGGGAAAGGTGAAAGGAAGGAAGGAGGGAGGGAGGGAGGGAAAGGAGGGAGAGATAATGAGGAAGGAAGTCAAGCAAAAGAGAAAGGGGAAAGGAAGGAAGAAAGAAAGGAGGGAAGGAAGGAACGAAAGAAAGGAAGAAAGGAAGGAGGGAAGGAAGGAAAGGAGGGAGAGATAACGAGGAAGGAAGTGAAGCAAAAGAGAAAGGGGAAAAAGAAGGAAGGAAGGAAGGAAGGAAGGAAGGAAGGAAGGAAGGAAGGAAGGAAGGAAGGAAGGAAGGAAGGAAGGAAGGACAGGTAACGAGGAAGGAAGTGAAGCAAAAGGGAAAGGTGAAAGGAAGGAAGGAGGGAGGGAGGGAGGGAAAGGAGGGAGAGATAATGAGGAAGGAAGTCAAGCAAAAGAGAAAGGGGAAAGGAAGGAAGGGAAGGAAGGAAGGAAGGAAGGAAGGAAAGGAGGGACAGGTAACGAGGAAGGAAGGGAAGCAAAAGAGAAAGGGGAAAGGAAGGGAAGGAGGGGAGAGAAAGAAAAGAAGGAAGGGAAGAGAAAGAAAGGGTGCTGCTATTGTATAGTATTTGCCCATCAAAATTTGGTTTTGGATGTCTCCAAGAACCACAAACACACAAAAAGACAACAAAGGAACTGCTGAAGGCTAGGCAAAAAATGCCTAGCAGAGACTATTCACTTTCAAGACCCCTGCAAAGCTGGTTTAGCAGAGCCTTCCCCTAGATAATAAGCAACACAAACTTAATGTATCCAGACTCCGGTTTTACACCAACTGAGTCTCGGTCCAGGGGGAAAAGAGCCCCCCCCACACACACCCCTCACTTTTACCTACCTGGGGCTGGGAAACGGCTCTGGCTGTTTCCGGTTACAGCAAGAATAAGCCAGGATTCTGAACATGTCGCTGAAGGCGCTGCCATCCGGGGCCTTGGTGATGAAGACGCTCTGGCCACACAGGAAGACCACGAAGGAGACCCCAATGCAAACCGTGGGGATGATGTAGCCGATGGTGAAGTTGACGTTCTGCTGGATGTACGCGATGCCTCCCAGGGACAGGATGGCGCCCAAATTGATGCTCCAGTAAAACCAGTTAAAGAAACGCCGGGTGGCTTCCGGACCGCGATCCTTCACCTAGACGAGATTTTTTCCCCCGCCCAAGGAGAAGAAAAGTCTATAAGAAAAGTTATTGTGTGTGTGTGTGTGTGTGTGTGTGTGTGTGTGTGTGTGTGTGTAAAATATTAACAGAGGAATTACTACTATATTATATATATTAACAGAGGGATAGAATCAAGATCTCATGAAGTATTAATACCACTTTACAAGGCCTTGGTAAGGCCACACTTGGAACACGGCATCCAGTTTTGGTCACCACGATGTAAAAAAGAGGTTGAGTCTCTAGAAAGAGTGCAGAGAAGAGCAACAAAGACGATCAGGGGACTGGAGGCTGAAACATACAAGGAACGGCTGCTGGAATTGAGTATGTCTAGTTTAACGAAGAGAAGGACGAGGGGGGACATGATAGCAGCGTTCCAATATCTCAGGGGCTGCCCCAAAGAAGAGGGAGTCAAGCTATTCTCCAAAGCGCCTGAGGGCAGGAGAAGAAGCAACGGATGGAAACTAATCAAGGAGAGAAGCAACCTAGAACTAAGGAGAAACTTTCTGACAGCGAGAACAATTAACCAGTGGAACAACCTGCCTCCAGAAGTGGTGAATGCTCCAACACTGGAAGTTTTTAAGAAGAGACTGGACAGCCATTTGTCTGAAATGGTATAGGGTTCCTGCCTGAGCAGGGGTTTGGACTAGATGACCTCCAAGGTCCCTTCCAACTTTGTTATATCTATCTATCTATCTATCTATCTATCTATCTATCTCTATCCATCTATCTATCTATCTATCTATCTCTATCTATCTATCTATCTATCTATCTATCTATCTATCTCTATATCTATCTATCTATCTATCTATCTAATCTATCTATCTCTATCTATCTATCTATCTATCTATCTATCTATCTATCTATCTATCTATCTATCTATCTAGCATCATCTATTTACGCAGATGCCTTGTCTATCTTTCTTGAAGGACCTGCAGCAGGAACATTTCACAGGCATAATTTTCATAATGTGCAGAAGAGACCAGAGATATTTCAGGAAGCAAACTTTGAAAGAGCAGGTGCAAATCTCTGCCTCTATAAAAAGCAACCGAGAAATGCAAAATAAGAATTCCGTTTTTAGTCCACAGAGAGCAGAGCTTCCCAACCCTGGACCCTGGCTTTCAATGTGCAGAATTCCCCAGTCAGCCACGGAAAAGAGTGAGGAAGAAACTCAAGAAAACCTCACCTTGATTCTATTTGGTATAAGAGGCAGCGGAAGAAAGTTTTGGCAGAGTTTTCAAGTTTTTGTTGTTATGTCCTATAATAACTAAGTAGCATTCTTGTAATCCAGTGTTTTTTTTTCCACCTCGCTGGCTTAAAGACATGTGGACTTCAACTCCCAGAATTCCTTGCTCAGCTTTGCTGGCCGGGGAATTCTGGGTGCTGAAGCCCACATATCTTAAGTTTGAGAATCCGATCTAGAATTAAACAGCTCTCTCTCTTCCATTCGATACAGGGAGAAGAAATTGTGATTTACAAGCACAACTGAGCTCAAAATTTCTGTTGCTACGTAACACGTTTGTTATGTGGATTTTTGCCCCATTTTACAACCTTCCTTGGTGCAGTCGTTCACTGAATCATTGCAGTTGTTAAGCTAGTAGCACAGCTATTAAGCGAATCTGGCTTCCACATTGTCTTTACCTGTCAGAAGGTCCCAACAGGTGATCACATGACCCTCCGGGACACGGCAACCATCATACGTAAATGCAAGCCGGTTGCCAAGCATCTGAACTTTGATCACGTGACCGCGGGGATGCTGCAACGGTCGTGAGGGTGACAAATGGTCATCGAGTCACTTTTTTCAGTGCTGTGGTAACTTTGAATGGTCACTAAACAAAGTGTTTAGTGTAACTCGCTGACTGCCTGTATAGCTTTGCTAACACATTGGACAATTAACCAGTGGAACAGCCTGCCTCTAGAAACCGTGGGTGCTCCATCATTGGAGGTTTCTAAGAAGAGACCGGACAGTCACTTGTCTGAGATGGTATAGGTTCTCCTGCTTGGATGGGGGGGCTGGACTAGAAGACCTCCAAGGTCCCTTCCAGCTCTATTCTATTCTATTCTATTCTATTCTATTCTATTCTATTCTATTCCATTCCATTCTATAATCTGTCCTATTCTATTCTATTCTATTCTATTCTATTCTATTCTATTCCATTCTATAATCTGTCTATTCTATTCTAATTCTATTCTATTCCATTCTATAATCTGTCTATTCTATTCTATTCTATTCTATTCTATTCTATTCTATTCTATTCTATTCTATTCTATTCTGTTCTGTTCTGTTCCATTCTATAATCTGTCTATTCTATTCTGTTCTGTTCTACTCTATACTGTTCCATATTCTATTCCATTCCATTCTATTCTATTCTATTCTATTCTATTCTATTCTACTCTACTCTACTCTATTCTATTCCATTCCATTCTATAATCTGTCTATTCTGTTCTGTTCTGTTCTATTCTATTCTATTCTCTCCAGCAGCTCATAACTAGATAAGCAGGGATTCACACCAGACAAACAATCAAGCAGTAACCTCTACCCTAATCAAAGGACCACCAAAGAGAAAAAAAACCACATCCCAATTGGTGGCTCTCTGAATCTAGCTGAGGAATTCTGAGAGTTGAAGCCCACATATCTTAAAGCAGCCGAAAAGATTGAGAATAAAGAATAAGTCACCGTTTCTTGGGGACTGAGAGCCCAACAGCTGTTACAGGGATATATCTATCCACACAGACACACCCTTGGCCCCATTTTTTTCATGACTCATTGGGGCTGCTGTTCTATGACACAGCTGCGAATGAAAAGCCACTACTGTATCTCCTCCCCCCCCCGCAAAAAAGGAAGAAAATAAAAAATTCAGAGCATTCCTCCTGCGCCAGCTGAATCATCCAGAGACTTGTTTTCCTGTGTTTAGGTTCAATTATGCCATCCCGGCTCGCACAAAAGCCAATGTCCTTAACTGGCAGGGCTTGTTCGTGGCCTCATTAAAAGGTTCAGTTTCTGTCTTGGAAGCTGTGCCAACACAGCTGGATGAAGACCAAGAATGGCACCACTGCCCTCATCCCTATCCCTCATTCTTCTGGTTTGCTTCAAACTCTTCAAAGAAAGAAAGAAAGAAAGCCCCACGCAATTCGAGATGTGTAGCCATCTTTCCTTTTCAGAGTGCCCCAGGTTTTAAAATCTGATAAATAAGATTAGAGGTATGCAATTTGCAGGGGATGGGGAAAGGTGGCTTTGAGTTTTAGCTTGGCATATTAAACATTTTTGTTGTTAGTTGGGAAGTCGTGTCTGACCCATCGTGACCCCATGGACAACGTTCCTCCAGGCCTTCCTGTCCTCTACCATCTTCTGGAGTCCATTGAAGCTCATGCCTCCTGCTTCAGTGACTCCATCCAGCCACCTCATTCTCTGTCATCCTGTTCTTTTATTGCCCTCCATCTTTCCCAGCATTAGGCTCTTCTCCAGTGAGTCCTTCCTTCTCATTAGGTGGCCAAAGTCCTTGAGTTTCAACTTCAGGATCTGGCCTTCTAAAGAGCAGTCGGGGTTGATCTCCTCCAGGACTGACCGGTTGGATCGCCTTGCAGTCCAGGAGACTCGCAGGAGTCTTCTCCAGCACCAGAGTTCAAAGGCCTCCATTCTTTGGCGCTCAGCCTTTCTTATGGTCAAACTTTCACAGCCAGACATTGCAACTGGGAAAACCATGGCCTTGACTATATGCACTTTTGTTGGCAGGGTGACATCTCTGCATTAAACATCTGAACTTCTGCATATCAATCCATCCTTGAAAATCTGGCCCTAGTTAGGATTAAATGACCTAGATGAGGGAATACAAGAGGAACATCGAATTTGCAAATGATACTAAAGTGGCAGGAATAGCCAAACACCCCAGAAGACAAGCTCAGGATCCAAAAAGATCTTGACCAACTTGAACAAGGGGCCCTATCCAACGAAATGAGTTTCAATGTGGAGAAAAGCAAAGTTTTACATTTAGGCAGGAGAAATCAAAGGTACAAGTACAGATTGGGTGAGACTTGGCTCAAAAACAGCAACTGTGGGAGAGACCTTGTAGTCCTAGTGGACTATCACTTGACCATGAACTAGCAGTGTGCAGCAGCAGCCAAAAAAGCTAATACAATCCTGGGTTGCATAAACAGAGGCATAGAATCAAGATCACACGAGGTATTAGTACCGCTGTATAAAACCCTAGTCAGACCACACCCGGAATACTGCAGCCAATTTTGGTCACTACAAAAAAGATGTTGAGACCTTGGAAAAAATTCAGAGAAGAGCAACTGAAATGATCAAAGGCCTGGAGGTGACAACATACGAAGAACGGCTGCAGGACTTGGGTTTGGCCAGTCTAAAGAAAAGAAGAAATAGGGGAGACATGATAGCAGCGTTCCAGTATCTGAGGGGCTGCCACAAGGCAGAGGGGGGTCACATTATTCTCCAAAACACCAGAGGGCAGAAGAAGAAACAATGGTTGGAAACTGATGAAAGAGAGAAGCAACCTGGAATTAAGGAGAAACTTCCCAACAGTGAGGACAATTAACCAGTGGAACTGCTTGCCTCCAGAAATCGTGGGCGCTCCATCACTGGAGGTTTTTAAGAAGAGGCTAGACAGCTACTTGTCTGAAATGGTATAGGGTCTCCTGCTTGAGCAGGGGGCTGGACTAGAAGACCTCTAAGGTCCCTTCCAGCTCTATTCTCTATTCTATCTTTTAAGGATCATATGATCGTAATCCAGGTGTCTGGTTTGCATTTACTTCAATTACTTAGAATAACAAGGTTGGAAGAAGCCATGAAGATCTTCTAGTTCAATGCCCTGCTCGAGAAGACGACCTTATACACTTGTGAACAAATGTGCAAGGTTTGCAGTGTGTTGAGGTGGGGTCACGTGGTCACCATTTACGACCTTCCCAGCCAAATTCCAACAAGCAAAGTCAAAACAGGGAAGGTAGCAGGCTATAGTCACATGTCTCCCTTAAGGACCAGGGCAAAAATGTTGTAAAATGGGGTATGGTCACGTGATGCCTCCCTTAAGGACCATACCGCTTAACAATGCACAATTTTTTGGGTCCCTACTGTGTTCGTAAGTTGAACATTACCTGTTGCTAGGGGCCAAACTGGAGTACAGAGTCTCTGCTTTGCGTTTCTGGAGAAAAATGCACTAAGCAAATAAATATACAAGGGATTCTCTTGAGCGTAATGAATAAAGAGGCGTTCACGCCCCCAGTGTGATGTAGAAGGATTTGGGGCTACTCATCCTTCACCATTTTTATGTTTCAAGTCAGTTTCATTTCCTTGCAGGGATGGCAGCTGAATTCGGAATTATGAGAAGTCATGGTAGTTTTTTTTAAATCACCATGTGTCAAAGCGAGGAACAGGAAACAAACCAATTTAAAAGAGGAACTTGAAAACAGCTGGGAGAGTGACGAAAAAAATCCTCTTTTTCAGCACATTGGGATGAAATCACTGCATTGCTTAAGTCTACCTATTTGGAACAGGGTATAAGCGTGTTTTGCCAGAATAATGAAAACAACATCAGGAAAATGAGAAGAGCAATACATTAATTTTGGAGAGAGAAAAAACAATGAAGGTGTGTCTTGACAAACTTTGGTTGATGGAAGGAGTGTCCAATCTTGGCAACCTTAAGCCTTGTGGATTTCAACTCCCAGAATTCCCCAGCCAACATCCTTCAAGACAGGTGGACTTCAACACCCAGAATTCCCCAGCCAGCATGCTTTAAGATGGGTAGACTTCAACTTCCAGAATTCTCCAGCCACCATTCTTTAAGACAGGTGGACTTCAACTCCCACAGTTTTAGGAGTTGAAGTCCATGGGTCTTAAAATTTCCAAGGTTGGACATCCCTGGTTTAGATCTTAGGTCAACAGAAGAAGTTGATTGATGGGAAACAGAAATTTGATTTCATATGCAATTGAAGTTGGTGTTGACCATATACGTCAATTTTCTCTAGAAGGATGTCTCCAAGAATTATCTTCCAATGGTGGCCCTATCATCATTGTAACTTGAGTCCATCCAGCTCATCCTTTCCTTCCCTTTCCTTCCATCTTTTCTAGCATCATTCATGCCTTGAGTGAGAACTGTGGATTTATCTGTTTGATGATCCATTGCTTGTCTTGGTTGTCCACGGTCTTAGGAATCTTCTCCAACTCCGAAGTTCAAATGTGTCAATCCTCTTTCAATCCGGTTTCCTCAAAGTCCAAGTTTCATTTCCACAGAGACGGATCTTCCAGATGTTGCTGACTTACGAATCCCGGAATTCCTCAGTATCAGCCAGCTGACCAGGAAGGCCATATCAACAACATCTGGAGGAGCAAACTCACAATAGACAAATGTTGTGCCTTTCCTGGAACAAACCTTCCCCATTGGTGTCACATGTGTAATTGGTCACAAGGCCACAATTGTGTGCATATCAGGTCAGGGCGATTAGCACAGAGGAAGAATTATATAGAAATTTAGCACAACACAGCATAATAAGCCAAAGAGAAGAAATTAGCGCACTAGGAAATTTAAGAGGTCAATTTCTTTGCGTTAATATATCACAATGTTGTTGGGTTTTTTTTACACCCTCTGGGGAACACTTTGGTACACATTTTTCAGGTTTCTACTTTTCTCAGTCTGGTGCAGGTCAAATGACTTTGATTACAAGTCCCATTATCCAAAACCACCACTATTTTAGCCACCCCAGAAAGGTATTACAGCTTAAAAAAAAACCAAACATAACTTATGTAAATGTATTTCAAAGACATCAGAACTGGGGAAGGATGAGATTGCAAGAAACAGAAGCTAATATATTCCAAAAAAGCACAACAAGCATATTCAGGACATATGAATATCTACTATTAATGGGGATAATTTGGTCTAAAGAGCAGCTGAAAATTCTAATTATAAATCTGGCTTACTCAGAAATATTCTTTAACCCTCCATTGTCTAACAAAGGTAAGAGAACGGAAGAATCGGGATCTGTTAAAGGAGACCCCACACATAGACAACGCCGAAGGACAGAAGAATGGAGAACAACCTACCAAATGTTTTTTTATTGCAAATTTCCTGTGTCTTCTTCTAAAGCAAACTGTGTCTTTCTTCTAAAGCAGTGGTTCTCAACCTTTTTAATGTGGCGACCCCCAACCGGTCGTAAGTCGAGGACTACTCAACTGATGCAGCACCGTTGGCAGAATGGGACTTTTGGCGGGCTCAGCAGGGCAGAGACACCTGGACAATTCCTATTGGCTTTTGAAAGCCAATAGAATTAGACTCTATTCAAGAGAGTCTATTCTATTGGCTTTCAAAAGCCAATAGAATAAAAGGGAGTAACACAGCTAAGGAAAATGGGGGGAAAATTGGTGGACTGTGTTGTTTGGCGACCCCTGTGAAATGGTCGTTCGACCCCAAATGGGGTCCCGACCCACAGGTGGAGAACCACTGTTCTAAAGTAAAGCACCCAGGTTATTAGTTTATGGAAATAATGTACTTATGTCACACATAAGTACTAAAGCCCCAGTCAGACTGCAGCCAATTTTGGTCACCATATCACAAAAAAGATGTTAAGAGTTTAGAAAGAATTCAGAGAAGAACAACTAAGATGATCAAAGACCTGGAGGCTAAAACATACGAAGAACGGCTGCGGGACTTGAGTTTGACTAGTCTAGAGAAAAGAAAAAATAGGGGAGACATGATAGCGATATTCCAGTAATTGAGGGGCTGCCACAAAGAAGAGGAGGTCATGTTATTCACCAAAGCACCAGAGGGAAGGACGAGAAACAATGGTTGGAAACTGATCAAAGAGGGAAGCAACCTGGATTTAAGGAGAAACTTCCTGACAGTGAGGACAATCAACCAGTGGAACAGCTAACCCCCAGAAATCGTGGGGGCTCCTTCACTGGAGATCTTTAAGAAGAGACTAGACAATCACCTGTCTGAGATGGTGTAGGTTCTCCAGCTTAAGCGGGGGGCTGGACTAGAAGACCCCCAAGGTCCCTTCCAGCTCTATTCTACGTATACAAATACAAGTCAAGCACGCCGTCTCAGCATTCTTGAGACAGATATCAATCCACACCACAATTCAAAGATAGCTTTTCTTTTGGTGATACTTAGCTCATTCGTGGCCCCCAATTCTTGAATTTTCCCTTTCTTAGGCCTTTCCTTTCAAAGGGATCTCCCAACGTGAAGAGCTTTTCGAACCAACTCTGCAGATCTTCCACTACACACCCAAATTTGGTGGTGGAAAAGCAAAGAGGAGACAATTGATGGAAAGAGCCATCATGAAGATTAGATGTGGGGAAGCTAATCTCAAAAATCCACAAAGCCACAGATTACGGGAGGAGAACCAAGAAAAAACTCCATCCTTTGGGCATCACATGCAACACACCAACAAAATCAGAATGTTACAAGAATGAGTTGAGGAGGTGGGTCTCAACGTTACAAATCAGTCACTGCTCATCATTTGAAGGCTAAAAAGCTGCTAACTATTCTTTTAGGCCATTGTTGCATTTCACGTAGCATTATCCACCCCAGCCTTTTTGAACTGACTATTGTGGCCAAACCTATGAGTTGATGGATCCCACCAGGTGGGAGAAGGCTGTTCTTTGCTATAAGCTACCATTTTCCAGATGCTTCTGCAGGCCTGCCTGGAAACGGGGAAGATGATCATGGATATCTAGAGTAGGAAAGTTTTATTGATTATCTTCCCCTCCCCAATTAGTGCAGAAATTCCTATAAGAGTACCCAAGCCTAGGATGGCCCAACATCTTAAGAAACCACCTGGTTTCCTACTTAAGTATGGTGTTTCGGCAGGGACCACATCTTCAAGAAGAGCTACACCACCAACTAAGACAGCTACAGACAGCAGCAAGGACTGACAGGAAGCTGTCCAACCGCTTGGCCACCCGTTTGACAACCCAGCCCAAGACTTTGTTAGGGAGGAAGACAATGAAGGCTACTCCACCTGATCAGCTCCGAAGGGGGTGATGTTGGCCTTGACGGAGCCCACGCTCAGCCCAACCAGCGCCAAGCCGACATAGGAGGCGATGAAACAGTAGCGCGTGGTTTCTTGTGACGAGCACGGGGCAGACGTAACATTACTCTCCAGAGACGTTGAGCAGTTCTCAACGGGTGATAGACGAATCTGTCCGCAGAGCCATTGACGGCTTGGAGCGATGGCCATGGCGGGGAAGGCCAGCATGCCCAAGAGGTAGACCGCCATGCTGACCAAGATGGTGGGGAATTTGCCTAATAGGGCGTCGGCCAGCCAGCCCCCAAAAGGGGAGACCAGGTAGGTGATCCCCATGAAGATGAGGAGGGCCTGGCTGGCCTCGGTACCCTCCCAGTTGTAAGGAGTTCCATTGAGGAAGAGCACCAGGTTCGAGGTGATGCCGTAGAAGGCCACCCTTTCCAGCAGCTCAGCCAGCAGCACTGCGGCACAGGCCAAGCGCCGTCCGTGGAAGACATTGGCTGCGGGGAAGGAGACGGGCGACCGAACATTGGGGTCTAAGAGCGGGCTTCTCTCATTGGACTCAGCTTCTTGCATTGCTGGTTGGCCAACTCCTTCCTTCACTTCTCCTGTTGGGTGACCCAACTGAAAAAAAGTCTCCCCCTAGCTCAGAATCGAGGGTGTTGCCCCCTACTTAACTCCCCCCCCAATGTCCTCTCTCTTAAGGACCCAGGAATCTCTGGGTTTCCCCGACCCTCACCCAGTTTTGGCGCTCTCCAACCCTTCCACCCCACTCTGGGCAACTTTTAAGCTCCTCGGCTGCTCAGATCCCTTCTTAGGAGCTAAAGAACCAAAGGGGGCTGACTTCCAAGAGCCGGGCTCACCCCCGTACCCCGAAACTTTTAAACTAACCCCGCTTCCAAAACCAACTCTTCCCCAAGTGGGATTCGAACCCGTAATCTCACGCTTTCGGGGGCTCTTCCGAGGCGCGCCAGAGTCTCTCTCCCTCCCCCCTACCAACCACCTCGCTAGAAAAGCCCGGCGCTGGCCGCCGTTCTCACAGCCTTCTCCCCCTCCCGCCGCCGTTCCTGCCGGCCGCCGCTTCGCCTCCTCGCTTGGGAATTGCCCAGGTTGGTCTAAGCCCGCCTCTTTCGGCCCGGGCCGCGCTCGCTGATTGGCCGCGGCGCGCCGTCGCTCACCGCTCCCCCTGATTTGCTGGAGGGAAGACACTTCCTGGTTCTCCTTGCGCTGCAAAGAAGAAAGTGGAAAAATGCCAAGCGCCGGTTGAAGGGCGAATTCGGAGTCAATCCGGATCAGAGGCTGCTTTGTTCCAAACGGCAGTGCCTTCCCTGCTGCTTCTTTGTTTTTTTGGGGGGGATTTCCCCCCCCCCAAGAGGATCATCAGAAAGGCTGAGCGACAGAGCACGCCCAAAGCGAGTCATGGGTTTTTGTCACGTGCAAACATGTTGCAATGCTTAAGCGTGCTTTGGGAAGGCGTGCGGGAGCTTGGTAACTCTTTGCACGCGCGGGTATTGATTTCTGCCCCGAGCGACCGGCTCTGGGTGCAGATAGCCGGAATGGGGCGGCTTGGGCTTCCACCCAGCGTTTAGATTGTCCCCAAATCCGCACAGAAGCGAAACTCTCAGTGGGTCGGTTTCGTTTCTTGCTGTCGGCGCAGTTTTGTTTCCTTGCTGTCTTGGAATGGACAGCAATGCCGTTTCAGGGTTTTCTAAGGCTGCAGATTCCAGAAGTGTTCTAAGCATTTGGTTGTTGTTAGTTGCAAAGTCGTGTCCGACCCATCACGGCCCCATGGACAACGTTCCTCCAGGCCTTCCTGGCCTCTGCCATCTTCTGGAGCCCCCTTAAGCTCATGCCTCCTGCTTCAGGGACTCCATCCAGCCACTTCATTCTCTGTCGTCCCCTTCCGTCTCATTAGATGGCCAAAGTACTTGAGTTTCAACTTCAGGATCTGGCCTTCTAAGGAGCAGTCCAAGGGACTCACAGGAGTCTTCTCCAGCACCATAGTTCAAAGGCCTCAAGTCGTGTCCGACCCATCGTGACCCTGTGGATAACGTTCCTCCAGGCCTTCCTGTCCTCTACCATCTTCTGGAGTCCGTTGAAGCTCAACACCTCCTGCTTCAGTGACTCCATCCAGCCACCTCCTTCTCTGCCGTCCCCTTCTTTTCTTGCCCTCCATCTTTCCCAGCACCAGGCTCTTCTCCACTGAGTCCTTCCTTCTCATTAGGTGGCCAAAGTCCTTGAGTTTCAACTTCAGGATTTGGCCTTCTAAAGAGCAGTCGGGGTTGATCTCCAGGACTGACCGGTTGGATCGCCTTGCGTCTTTTCCAGCACCAGAGTTCAAAGGCCTCCATTCTTTGGCGCTCAGCCTTTCTTATGGTCCAACATTCACAGCCATACATTGCAACTGGGAAAACCATGGCCTTGACTATATGTACTTTTGTTGGCAGGGTGATGTTTCTGCTTTTTAGTATGCTGTCTAGATTTGCCATAGGAGCAATTAAATAATGCAAATCAAATGGCCTTACAAAAGCCAGAAAGCTATGATCTCAAACCTAAAAAAGAAGTGAACGTACATGTATGCAAATAATGCACGGCTATTAAATGACAAGTTTGTGTAAGTACATAACGAGAAGTAAGAATGAAATGCCGGATGTCGAAATAACAGGAAGAAAAGTATAACAGTAGTGGAATAAAACAACATAAAATGCCAGTCAGGTCATAACCTCAAGTAGAAAGAATTGCACAATTCAAGAGTCCAATAACATTTTTTTCCCCTTGGAATCTGAATCATTGTTATTGTTATCATTCCAAGATTAATGGCAAGATTTATGATTTTCTCCACACAGCATTTGAGACACAATCAATCCAGCTTTCTCTATCCTGAGCATTCCCAGTGGTGTTGCACTGCCTTGCCCATGTTGGCTGGGGACGATAGACTTTGTACTTCACAGCCCCCAAGCTGTAGCCCGTGCATTTATCTCTTAGGGTTTCTGCTAGAGAATTCAAAGCCTGCCTTCCTGAAGCAAAAGAGGGTTTAGACTTGAGATGTCAGATGATAAATCCGCTTCTTTATATTTCAAGAGATAAGTTGAGAAGATCTTGCTTTACATCAAAAGCTAGCTGCTATCTCTGTCTTCTAGGGGGAGGGAAAAAACCCTCAAATGCAGATAGTGGTGAGACTGAAAGAAATCAGAGTTTTTAAGGAAACTCACAGCCAACGTTTTGGTTGTTTGGTTTCCAGTTTCTTTCTGACATCTGTCATTCATGAGAGAGAAAATCTTGCTTGCCTTAGACAGGTAGTAAATACATTGACAGCCGTCGCTGAAAAATATTGATCAGGCTACTGTATCAATAATTTAATTTCTGTTCCCACTGCTTAAGGCAGTTTCCAAGAGAATAAAACAGGCTTAAATAAAGCCAAGAGAATTATACGTGCAAGTGTGTGTTTGCTACTGCTGCTAAGGAGACCTGAAAGGGATTGAGGAATTGAGAAATGAGCTGGGGAATTCTGGGAGTTGAAGTCCACATATCTTAAAACTGCCTAGGCTAAGAAATAATAATCTAGGGCTATTAAAAATATACATACTTCTGCAATCATTTCAGCTCAATACAATATTTCTTTTCAAGAGACAAGAACATATAGTAGAATATCTTCTACCTAACACAGGGCACTCTTCTTTTTGGAGTTTCTTTGAATTTGATCTCCAACTCATGCACACATTCTGCAGTCTATCATCTATTTATATGATTCTATCTCTAATCATTTATCATCTACCCACCGATCATTTATCGATCTTTTTGATTCTATCTCTCTCTCTCTGTAAGGACTCTCTCTCTCTCTCCCATCTGTAACTTCCATCTCTCTCTCTCTCTCTCTCTCTCTCTCTCTCTTTCATCTGTAAGGTTTTCCACTTAGCCTCACAATTGCCCCAGCATTACTCAGGATTTTTTTTTATATCTTTTCAGAACAAAGAGGTCTTGGAACTAGGTCTTGGAACTAGGCATAAGATGTCACAAAAAAATAATTCTTAGATGATGACTCATACACAGCAACCCAGGCTCCATCTGTAACTCCTTTCCCCCCTCCCCTTACTGTGCTCTTTTCAGATAAGCAATCACCTATATCTAAAGCATGAAGCCCTTACTTTTCCAATATATATATAAAGCATCTGATCAAGCAATTAACTGCAAAATAATGATTACAAAATAACAATACAATGATTACATGATAATACTATAAGTATCAATATAAAATGGTTACTATATATAAAATAAACGCTAATGTCAAACTTAAACATACTAAAATCATAAGCACAATAAAATCCCTTCACATCCATCGTATCCATCCATCTCTGTTAGATTTGTGTGCCGTTCCTCTCCTCTGGAGGCGGCTTACAATAACAATAAACACCGGTAAACATTTAAAATGACAACGGAAGAAACAGCAACAGTAACAATAGTGTCCTCATAACGAAAGGAAGCGGAACTGCATGACTGCCCGCCTTGTTGCTTGGGGGGAGCGTTCCTTGCGGCGGACTGCTCCATCCGAAGGGAGCGGACCATAGAGTTGGGCAAGCGTGGACGAGGAGCACCTGGCTTCCGGCGCTTGGACAAGAGGGAATGAAGCCGCCAGGGACCTGGCCGGAAGTAGGGCACAGCTGCCAACTCGTCATGCGGCTATTGCTACTGGCTCCCGGACGAGCCCAGACGGGCAACGGCACCACCGCCCGGAGGATCCAGTAAGTGCTTCCCCCGTCCCCATGCCCGGCTTTGCACACCCCCCCCCAGCCCGATCCCCTCTCTGCAGCGCTGCTTAAGACGTGGCGGCGGGTGTGCAGGCGGGAGTTCGTCCGGTGCAGCCGGGCAGATATTTATGCGTGTGTACGTACATGCATCAACATGCTTATGCATTTTATGCAAGATCAGAAATTTACTGGGGGATGCTCAGGACTGGAAAGGGAAGCCTGTGTTGCTGGCTGGGTGCACTAAAATTAAAACATAGGAAGAACGGTTGCAGGAATTGGGTACGGCCAGTCTAGAGAAAAGAAGGACTGGTGGGGTGGGGGACATGATAGCAATCTTCCAGGATTTGAGGAGCTGCCACAAAGAAGGGGTCAAATTATTCTCCAAAGCACCAGAGGGTAGGACAAGAAACAATGGATGGAAACTGATCAAAGAGAGAAGCAAGCTGGAATTAAGGAGAAACTTCCTGACAGTGAGGACAATCAACCAGTGGAACAGCTTGCCACCAGAAGCTGTGGGTGGTCCATCACTGGAGGTTTTAAAGAAGAGTCTGGACAGCCACTTGTCTGAAATGATATAGGGTCTCCTGCTTGAGCAGGGGGTTGGACTAGAAGACCTTCAAGGTCCCTTCCAGCTCTATTCTGATTCATTGATTGATTCATTGATTGATTCATTGATTGATGGAAATGGTCTAGGGCAGGGGTAGGCAACCTTGGCTCTTTTATGACTCGTGGACTTCAACTCCCAGAATTCCTGAGCCAGCCATGTTGGCTCAGGAATTCTGGGAGTTGAAGTCCACGATTCATAAAAGAGCCAAGGTTGCCTACCCCTGGTCTAGGGTCTCCTGCTTGAGCAGGGGGCTGGACTAGAAGACCTCCAAGGTCCCTTCCAGCTCTTTTCTGATTGACTGATTGATCTGCCAAACCTGGTTCAAGAGACTTAAGTTGCTATTTCACCTACTGGGCTAAACCTGGTGAATGATTGCCCGGGTTTAACCCTTTGTGGACTTACAGGTTGTGCATCTATGGGGTGAATCTGAAATGGAGTAATCGGGTTGTGAATCTGAAATGGAGTAATCGGGTTGTGGGCATGTAACTTTTGGGGTTTATTTTGTATTCGGCTACTTATTTTATGTTCACAGTGGTTATTTTGTCTTCTGGATACTGTACTTCGTATTTTCTCTATTGATAGGCATTTCAAAAAGATGTCAAACAATGTGTATTTGTGTGTGCGTAATACACCTATCATATTGGAGGTGTTTGGATCTTAGCTTGGCCTGTGTGTTGATTCTCTACACAACATGTAAACATGGCATTGTCTCCAACAGCCACATTCAAGAACTTTTGAACTTTGTTGAAAAACACGTCTGAGCATGTTGTAGACAGCCAAGAAAACAAGTCAACCGATTATCAAGCAAATTCTTCTCCCACCCACCTTCTTGAAAGTCCATAGAGTGTCACAAGGAATATCACAGCTTACATGAGGTTTTTGATATTCCTAGTGGGAACAAGTTCCATTGGTCAATTACAATCAGTGCTGGAGGGAAAATGTTTGGTGCGATTTCTGGAAATCTCAGAAAAATTGCATATTCTCTCTATGCGCTAGAAAACACAGTGGCGATATTCCCCCCCCCCCCCCTTTGGCTGCTAATGTATCTCCTGAGTCTCATTAGGAACTTCGTTTCAAATCACTGGCAATTTGCAAGCCTCTTAATATGAGCAAATTAATCTGTGGAACAACTTGTCTCCGGAAGTGGTGAATGCTCCAACGCTGAAAGTTTAAAGAAGAGATTGGACAAGCATTTGTCTGAAATGAGATACGGTTTCCTACTTGAGCAGGGGGTTGGACTAGAAGACTTCCAAGGTCCCTTCCAACTCTATTGTTGTGTTAAGTTTAAAATTAAATGCATGCCGTGATTGTTAAACGAACTCATTCCTTTGTCGCTCTGGATAGTGAGATGGGTGGTGTGTAGATTTTAATACGTAAATAATAATTTTGAATTGGTGTTTTTCTTCTGGACAAGAGGAAAAACGGCTGAAAGTCAGCAAACATTCCTTGAAGTTGTGGCTGCTCCATCCCTGGAGGAGAGGTCTGGATCAACCATTTGTCTGAAATGGCATAGGGTTTCCTGCCTTAGCAGGGGGTTGGACTAGAAGACCTCCAAGGTCCCTTCCAGTTCTGTTTTTCTATTCTATTCCGTTCCACATAGAACAGTTTAGGATTCTGAGGTTTGTCCTGTTGGAACACAACCAGTATAGAATGGCTGTAAGAATGTAAATCGTGGTTATTGGTACAATGGGAAAGAAAGACAGAAAGTTCTGACTTCTGTTGTAGTGGAACTTGGCAATCCCCACATGTATTTGTGATGAGGTCAACGTGATTGCCATTTGTGCCCTCAACTGGCTTCCAACAAGCCTAGTCAATGGGAGAAGCATGACTCGCTTAACAGCTGTTTGATTCATTTAACAACTGCAACTGATTTGCTTAACAACTGTGGCCCAAAAAGAAGGTTGTAAAATTGGGCGCGTCTTACTTAAGCACCTTGCTTAGCAACAGTAATCCTATTCCCAATTTGGGTTGTAAGTTGAGGACTAGTTATAGAACAGGGGTCTTCCAACTTGGCCCTTTTAGGACTTGTGGACTTCAACTCCCAGAATTCCTCAGCCAGCGTGCCTGTTCTAAAACTTCATGGCCTTATTTCCTGCAGAAATTAAATGCTAATATCCTGTCCTTTTGTTTTTGTTTTTTTTAATTATCCCATCTGCGCCTGTTTTCCAAAGAGATCATTTACAAGCTGCAGGGCATTTGTGTCTCTTGAAGGATGCCTCTGATTATGACTCCCCGTTGGCAATTTCGAATCTCATCTCTTCGGAGAAATTGGAGGCAGCTCTGGGCATCCATCTCTTTAAAGCTGGAAGGCTTCTTCAAGGTAAGATAAAGTCTCTTGGTCTCCAAAGAGGTGGGAAACAAAAGGCTTTGGAAAAAGCCCAAGTTGCATCTCTAAAATACTAGTCGTATAGCTTCGATAAATCTGTTATAACTGGGCTGCTATAATATGCATAGCCCCTAGGTGGCAGCAGCAGCGACCCAGAGTTTTCTGTATTGCTCTGCTGCCCTCTAATGGTTCTTTGGATGTTTTGCAGTGTGGATCTGTTTTTTGGCCCAAATATAGCCCAAACCTTTTCTCTTGACTTGAAAACTCCATTTTAATCAGAGAATAAGGCCAGGATTCAACCGAAGCCATCTGTTGATTGTTCCTCTCCAAGAGATTCTTTTAATTGGCATTTCAACATTAGTCCACTTATTGCTTTCCTGTTTGCCTGCATTTCCCCCCCCCCCACCTCAACTGCTGCTGTCCAAAGATGCTGGCTCATCTCACAAACCTCTCCAGCAAAGCAGACATTTGAGAACAGCTGGTAAAATAGGTCATGAATTCCTCTGCCAGCTCTGACGGCCAGTTTACCTGATTCCTTTTTAACCAGTGAACTCATTCTACCTAGAATTTGAAAGCGGGCTTGTTCCTAATTAGCTGCCATCACCGCTGCTTAATGGAGTGTTAAAACTGCCTAGTTAATTGTTTCTCTTTCCCCTCCCACTCTTCTAACGTTTGTTGTTGTTTTAAAAAAAGGAGAGAGGTTTATAGTTGTGTTAGCATCCCTGCTTTTGAGCCCAAGGATGCTTGATCTGAAAAGACACAATGCAAATTGCTCTCCTTTGTAATAACAAGGCTGGCATATGTAGAATAGGTTTGAGAGGAGAGCTGGCTTCCATTTAGCCAGACAAAAGGCGATCTGAGATGGCCTCTCTTGGATTCCCTAGTTTAACGAAGAGAAGGACGAGGGGGGACATGATAGCAGTGTCCCAATATCTCAGGGGCTGCCCCAAAGAAGAGGGAGTCAAGCTGTTCTCCAAAGCGCCTGAAGGCAGGACAAGAAGCAACGGGTGGAAACTAATCAAGGAGAGAAGCAACCTAGAACTAAGGAGAAATTTCCTGACAGTGAGGACAATTAACCAGTGGAACAACCTGCCTCCAGAAGCGGTGAATGCTCCAACACTGGAAGTTTTTAAGAAGAGTCGGGACAGCCATTTGTCTGAAATGGTATAGGGTTTTCTGCTTGAGCAGGAGGTTGGACTAGATGACCTCCAAGGTCCATTATTATTATTATTATTATTATTATTACTATTATTATTACTAAGAGCACTTAGCCTAGCTAAAAGCATCTTCTCCTTTATAGAAAGGAACACCAGGACGAAAATGAAAAAGAAAGATGGTTAAAAATGGGCAGTCCTCATTTAGTGACTGCCTGGCTTAGTGACTGTTTGCAGTCACAGCGGTGAGGGAAAAAGTAATGGTGCAACCTGCCCTTGCATTGATAACATTTGCAGATCCGTTAAGCGAAGGAAAGAGGACAGGATCGTAAGCACCGCCATGTTTCGCTCAGTGATTGTTTTGCTTAGTGACCAAATGGGTGGCCCTACTTCAAAGGGGAGATCTTTGAAAAGGTCTCCACCAACACTGATCCCAGAGTTGAGTTTGGTTTTGCCACTGGGATTAACTGTTGAAATTCTCCATTTTTCAGGAAGTCCTGTTCCTTTTGGGATTATCTTTGGAGGCACGGATGTTAACGAAGATGCCAAAAGTGGGGAGAAGGCCCTAATTATGGAGAAGGTGTTGGATGAAGCCAGGTAAAGAAATGTGCCTCTTAGTCCTCCTTATTGTTCTATCGTGAATCAGCTGATACCTATTTGGACCTTTGTCCCCAAAGTGTGTTTCTTTTTCAGAAGGACACTGGACTTTCTTGGTGTTTCCTTCAAAATCGTTTCGCTTCTCATGCAAGAAGCTTGAATGAGCCGTGGTGGCGCAGTGGTTGGAATGCAGTACTGCAGTTCAGCAGTTCGATCCTGACTGGCTCAAGGTTAACTCAGCCTTCCATCCTTCCGAGGTCGGGAAAATGAGGACTCAGATTGTTGGGGGGCAACAGGCTGACTCTGTAAACTGCTTAGAGAGGGCTGTGAAGCACTGTGAAGCGGTATACAAGTCTTAGTGCTATTGCTAGTGCAATTCCTCCCTCCCTCCCTCCCTCCCTCCCTTCCTTCCTTCCTTCCTTCCTTCCTTCCTTCCTTCCTTCCTTCCATGGTGCTCACTGGTTAGAATGTAATACTGCAGGCTAACTCACTGCTCATTGCCAGGGGTCCAATCCTGACCGGTTCAAGGTTGACTCAGCCTTCCATCCTTCCAGGTCGGTAAAATGAGGACCCAGATTGTTGGAGAGACAATAGGGCTGTAAAGCATTGTGAAGCGGTATATAAGGTGGCGCAGCAGTTAGAGTGCAGTACTGCAGGCCACTTTAGCTGACTGTGTTCAGCAGGTCAGCGGTTCAAATCTCACCGGCTCAAGGTTGACTCAGCCTTCCATCCTTCCGGGGTAGGTAAAATGAGGACCCAGATTGTTGGGGGCAATGTAAATATATATATACATTGCTTACTGGTGTGCACCGCTTAGAGAGTGCTTGCACTTAAAGCGGTATATAAGTCTCATAAATAAATAAATAAGTCTAAGTGCTGTTGCTTTTGTAATGGATGGATGGATGGATGGATGGATGGACAGAGACAGACAGACAAAGCCATAGTGGCGCAGTGGTTAGAATACAGTATTGCAGGCAAACTCTGCCCATAGCCAGCAGTTCGATCCTGACGGGCTCAAGGTTGACTCAGCCTTTCCATCCTTCCGAGGTTGGTAAAATGAGGACCCAGATGATTGGGAGCAAATAGGCTGACTCTGTAAACCGCTTAGAGAGGGCTGTAAAGCACTCTGAAGCGGTATATAAGTCCAAGTGCTGTTGCTATTGCTATTCTTCCGTTCTTGAATGAGAAGCGAAACCAAGAAAAGTCCAGTTGCCTTTTTGGAAAAGCAGCTTTGGGATAACCATGATTGAGAATCTCCATAGACCACTTGGAACCTCCTAAGACTGGAGAAGGGGAATGATAACGCA